GTTGTAGCAAACTTTTTCAAATATTAGAGAAGAGCTGTATTTAGCTACTTTTAACTTTCATGAGAAACCAAAACAGCCTAACAACAGTATGAACGGTGAAATGCCTCAAACAGGTAGATAACTGGTTAGGAACATTCAACTGAATTTACCATGATAAGCCAATTACTTGTTTTGAAGCCATTTGTACAAAGTTGATTATCCCATGAATGCATTATCCAAAAAGAAATAAGGGTCATTGAGTGGAAATTTATATCACTTATGAGTACTTATTCAAAATTCTGATAAATTCTTGAAAATGGATTATCTGGTTGCTTCTTACTAGAATATATTGCAATCACATTAACCATCATCATCTGGTTATATTTGCAAAAATAAGAAGTATCAGAAAAGGAATTCATGCATCGGTTTTTCTATCGTTATGTTAGGTCAACAAACATAGAGAGTTTTTCAGTAATATAGAAACCTAAAATTGATGTTGTTCAGTAAATAAAAATGCAATATCAAGTATCGATACTCTAACTTCATACGCAAGTTAAAGATAATAATACGATGCCACTAAGTACCAATAACAGTTCAAACTTTTAGAACATGAGTACGAAAATGTTGATATCAAAAGACACAAGGAAGATTTCCTACTGATGCAAATCCTGTACTTAGATCACCAAGATCTCCTATATAAGCCGTTGGCTGAACTCCGGAAAAATCTGTACCAGCAATTGCCTGCTGAGACACTTGAAAGGTGAGTAGACCAACAAGAAATGTCAACTCAATTCCTTTCCAAAGATCAGAGAGTGGAGATTTGCTTTGCTGGCAAGAATGGGTTGTGCAGCTCCTACTCGTTGTTTCCGTAAAACTGTTATCATCATCCCTAGTTTCCATGGATCGGAGAGTTGCTTTGCCGCTATGATTGTCTAGATATCTGAGCCCCTACCATCAGATCGAGAGAATCATACAAAAGCTTAATCCGAGAGGATATCCATATGCACACACATATACTCCTTACCGTTCCATCTCCCAGAATTCGACTCCTGCACGGTCTTCCCGATCTCGTCGGAGGAGGTGTGGGAAATTGGTGAGAAGCACGAGGGCGGACGGCATTACTGGAGGCGGGGGCGATACGGGACCAGGTGACGTGGCGGCGGAGAGGGGCTGCGGCCGGTGCTGGTAGAGAGGGGAAGGAGGAGAGAAGGGAGGGAGATGTCGATGCTCTAGTGAAGCTGCCGCAGCGGACCATCGTTACCCCTCTCCGGACCTGCGAGTGGAGCCGAATGGATATAAGACGATGACTTCGGATCGTTTCCCTCCACAAACCCGAGGCTGCTGATTCCCTCTCTGCAGCCAGACAGGAGACAGCGTATAAAATTCCTTTAACCATTTCATATTACATATGTATTATTTCAAATATTTATATCCGATATTCCATGATATTTGGTGATTCATGTAACATTTCATTAGTCCCACATTGGAAGTGGACAATGTGTATGATTAGCTTATAAGGGTATGATGAGTGTATTACATTTGGACAAGGACATCGAGCCACCACTTAACATCCTATCATAATCGGACGAGAATGACAAGTGTCATACCTCTCATGTCATCATTTATTTATCATTCA